TCCTTTCTGCTAACTGACAATCTGCCGCTAATCGGGATGGCAGGCTTTTCCATCTTTCCTCATCCCGTTTTCTTTCTCTGTCAAAATCTCTATCAACGTGTCCCTGAGATAAAGGTGGTAAAATTTGTGTTCTCTGAGCTAATTTATAACTATCTTGTCTCGGTACGTGATCAGTACGTCTGCTCGTGGCGCTCGTAGACACATTCAATGGGGTTGGACTTCCTCCACCTCTGTGTCTATGATAGAGATTTCGTTTTTGTTGCAACATTCGTTGCTGCACTAATAATTGTAATTGTGTACTAAAGTCACCACGAAGTTTAAATTGTTGTTGATTCTCAGGTGGAGTAGACGGCGGTCTTAAGTGAACAAGATCCAAATGACCTCTTGCTTTGCCCGAATCTATAAAATAAAATAAAATTATAACTTTTTTTGTTATGAAATTAAGTCGTACAATTAAAATTGTTAGTAATTCTAATGTGATTCACTGATAATTAGCGTTTATGATCTGAACTCTTTGAATATAATTTGAATACCTTGAATACTTCGTTGCTTGGCTGGTCTATCTCCACCACCTTGCTGACAAAATAGCAATCTAGGTCCACCATCAGAGGCCCTACGCCCTTGAGACACTCTAGATATTCTACCAGTTATCGGCGATGGACTCAAAGTTGGTGGAGGTGTGCAAGATGGCAAACTGCTGGTGAATGAGTTTGCCCCAGAGTAATCTGGTGGGCAACCGGAATCAAAACTAGATTCAAAAAGTTCGGACGACGAACTACCACTACCACCCGCAATGAACAATGTTGTTCGACTAGGAGGATCAATAGGATCCATAAGTGGGGTATCAAAATGGTGTTGATAATCACTTAATCGTCGATTGACTATCTGACTGTCAATTCGTTGACTGATATCATGATCTAGGCCTAGTCTATGTTCCTCAAGTTTAATCTGAGCTTCTCTCAATTCATCGCCGCTTGGACCTTCTTCTAGGTCACCTTCTGCGCTACAGCATCCTTCATCGGTCGAAGAACTAGTTGAACTGAACCTTTTCCCTCCTCGAGTTGCATCTTCCCTTGTTCTAAATAACGAAAATATAATGTATGTTATAAATAACTATATAAAGATTCCTTTTGATTAGCACACAAATGGCTTAT